ATTGTGAGGCTTTTTGATTCTTGCAATACTCAGCATTATTTTAAACGGAAATAAGACAATGACAGAAGTTATAATAACTCGCCTCGAAATAAATTTTTTTATTTCTAAGAAATTCTTTGAAATTATTTTAAGCACTGTTTAATATACCAATGAAAGGGTAAATCATTATTTTGATCATAAAGTACACTAAAACCCATCAATTTTATATAGTTTTATTTTGAAACAAAGACAAAAATTGAAAGCGTACTCAACTATACTCAAAACGACACTTTACTCATTGCAGATCTCCGATAGGCATTCAATAACTTTTAGGAGTGATGGATTATCTAATAGGCTAAACCGAAAAACTTAACAGCGCAGAGAACAATCGAATACTCGCATCTTATATGGTATATATAAAAAGTGGTAACGATTAGCTTGAAGTTAAGTTAATCAAAATTCGATATTTTTTCCTTTATCTTTTATATAGGATAAATTTTGTTTACATTGTAGTATGCATGTAAGTAGTAGGAGTATGATTTGCCATATAACTATAAATTTGATTTATGCATTGTTTTTTTCTTTCGATTTCTAATACACTTCTCGAATTTGCTAATAACTTGGCTAATTAATGTAAACGGTAATTGAATTGTATTATTGTCAGTAGTTTACGATAATGTATACCTAACTATACATACGAGTTTATGTACGTATGCTCTTCCTTACATGACATAAAGTTCATGTACTTTTACACTCTAATCAACGACAATGAATACATACATATATGAATACACAAGTACGTTAACTTACACATATAGCTTACATTTACTGCATGGGATAGATACACGTTAGTTAGCCCTAGTTCTATATATACGATTGCTTTGCTATTTGCTATTCAGAGACGGGACATACATATGTACACATTTCGATATTGGGCTCTGAGAGGTTTTTGGGGGTGGCGTTAATCCAATCAGTTGCGTTAACAATTTGTAATTGTAATTTCGACATACCTAACCCCAAAGCAATTCCATAAAATCAACCCACCTAAATACAGACAGGAGAGAGACGTAGTCGATGCTAACAAAATAATTCACATTTGGTTGTCGGCAGGTGGGGATGAGGTGCAGCAGCATCAGCAGCCTCAACTCCCCCTTTTGGATCGATAGTCATTTAAAAGTGCGCTAACACTCATATTCCAGTATAAAGGTCTCGGATACGGATGCGGAAGCTTTTGCTGCTGTTGGCGTTGCTGTTGCTGATGCCGCTCCTGTTGTGGCATGTTGCTGATGCAGCATCGTGGATCTGGGCAAATTTACTTGTGCCAACATTGCGGTTGCCGATAATTTGCCATTGTATGTAAGAACGCTGCCACCGCTGCTGCTGCTACTGCTGCTAACGCTGCTGCCGCTGGCCAAGCCATGACCATAATAGTTGAGCGCTGAGATTAGCGGAGCAGCGTTGGGTGTCATCTGCTGCTGCTGACTGCGACGTTGTGGCAACTGCTGTTGCTGTTGCTGCTGCTGCTGCTGCTGTTTGATAATGTAGTCTGCGGGCGTTGTTGTTGTTGTTGCTGCATTGCGCAACGCTATGAAGCTGTCAAAATTATCAGCCGTCGAGGAGGCATTCGATGTGCTCGAGTTGCGACGCGGCAACAAATGCAATTGCTGCTGCTGCTGTTGCTGTTGCTGCTTGGTTAAATTCAGTTTGTGCTGCTGCGACATGGATGAGTTCGATGATGATGAATTGGACAGCGAGGATGAGTTGACCGAATGTGCCGGTGGATGTTGCTGTTGATTTGCATAGTATTTGCGCATATGCTCCAGCATATATCGATTGTTTGCGCTCGTATTTGTGTTGGAGCTGCCACCTGAAGGCGATGCAGCTGCTAGTCCAATTGTTGTTGGCAGGGGCTGCAACTGCTGCTGTTGCTGATGCTGCTGCTGTTTAATGCTGGTGGCATACAGTGCATCTGTGGTTGGTCTTAACAAACTAAGGCTTCCAACGCTTGTTGCAGTTAAAGATGTTCCCGTTGCGGTTGTTGCTCCTCTCGTTGCACGATTGCGCTTGTAACTGGCCAAATTGCTGCTGCTGCTGTTGCTGTCTGCTTCCAGGTTGCCGGACATAAAATGGCGCGTTGATGTTGTAGTTGCGTCTGTTGCTGCTGCTGCCGTTGCCGTTGGATAGCTGCGCGAATAGTGCGCTTCCATTAAGTCCGCACGTCTCTCCTTCGTAGCAAACAAGACATCCGTCTCACCGCCACCCCCTCCAAAACCATAATATTCGCCGCGAACGCAAAGCTTTTCCACGTCATCATTTCTGCTGCTGTTGTTGTTGCTGATGCGCTCGAAGTCGCTGCGACTGCGTTGAAAGTGCGTCAAATAGTTTTCACCAAGAGCAGTTTCTGCCGCTGTCGCTTCCTCTTCTCTGTCTCCCTCTAGTTTCTGCTGCGTTTCGCTGTCAATGGCAATTGCCTGTCGCTGCAAATGCTGATTGAGCGATTGATAGAATGTGCTCTCTGCTAGATTCTCGTTATATACTGTTGCCGTTGTGCCCAGTTCTAGTTTGTGCGGCTGCTGCTGCTGCTGCTGCTGTTGTCGTTGATACCAATCGACATCCTCATTGCACTCGTTGACATTGACGCGTATTCGTATATCACGCTCCATATAGTCCGGCTCGTTAGTGGCCAAAGCTAAGATTGCCTCCTTTTCATCATCGCCATCATCACTATCATCATCATCATCGTCATCATCATCAGTTTCGGGATCGTTATTATAAAAGTAACGCGCTGACTTAGCGCTTTCGGCCAGCAATCGATCCTCGCTTTGTTCCAGCGCCAGCGTATAACTATTTAGATTATCAAAATAATATTCACACATCTTGTCAGGGTGCTCGTATCGCAATTTTAAAGCAGATTGCTGCTGAAGCGGCTGCAACTGCGGTTGCTGTTGCTCGTCTACTGCTTGCTGCTCCTGGTCTCCCTCAGCTGCCTGCTTTGGGATTTCCCCTTTGGTTCCCGATGTTGGCCCACTAAATACTGATGCGTAATCGGAGCTGCTTAACGAATCCGAGTTGGGATTGTGTTTTCTTGAGATGGGCAGTGTGCCCAAATTCTCATAGCAACTGTTGCTGTTGACAGCTATCTGATTATTCGCTTGCGACTGACTGCGCTTGTGGCGTCGTCGTGGCGTCTCCCCCTGCTCCATCTCCTCTCTCTCCCTGCAACGCTGTGCGGCCAAAGCTCGCCGCTGAGCCCCGCTAACCCGACCCACAGAATGCGCCGACTGCTTGCTGCTGCTCAACTTCTGTTCGAAATTCTGCTCGAGATAATGCTCGAGATAGTGCAGGTTTTTGCTCAAATCTATCTCCGACTTGTAGCTCTTGTATATAGTCGCCTGTTTGCCAGCTGCATGTGCTGCAGCACAGCGTGACTCATAGCTGGATATGTGTGCCCGATCGCTAATGAATCGAAAGCTTTCATCTTTGGCGAGCGTATGAAAACCGCTAAATTCGCTGGCATTGCCGCCGCTGCTGCTGGCATCGCTGCTGCTGTTGTTGATCGCCTTAAAATTGCGACACTTGTCGCGTATCTTTTGTATACCCTGGCGCGTCTTCGCTTGCAGCCGCTCAAAATAATTGGACTTGGGTGTGGTGGAGACGTGTCTTGGTGGTCGGTAGGCCGTGTGTTGGATATCGTAGCCACCGCTGCCCGCAGCACGCATGCTTTGTATGCTCTGGGTTCGATTTGGATAGCGATAGCTGAGCTTAAATTTGGGTGCCACCTGCTCATCGTGTTTGTGCAGCTTGCGCAGCGATAGCTGCTTGAATATTAGCGCTTTGGAGCGTTTCGTTTTGCCCGTTGTGTTCCTGGTGTCCTCGCTGAAGTCCTGCCTCTCAAAGCGACGCACGGGCACACCATGCAAATAATGATGATGCTGTTGACTGCTGCCAGTAGTCTCAATTGTTGTTGTTGTCGTTGTCGCCTCTTGGCGATTGCCCTCGAACAGCCTTCGCAATCCTTTTCCACTGCGCTGTGGTCGCGCTGAGCTGTTTGCGCTTCGCAGTCTTGGATTAACGCCTAGCGTTAAAATCTCATCATCGTGAAATATGGAAAATGGATTCGTTATAACCGTCGAATTGTCGGGCGTTAAGTTGCTTACGGATCTAGTCTTAATGCCAGTTCTAGAATTACTTAAGGCTAATTGCTGCTTACTGTCTAATACAACTACAACTTTGGCTTCATTATGCTGGTGCGGTTGTTGCAGGGTATGTGGGACTGGTTGGGTATGTAAGTGCGCCATCAGATCTGTCTCGGATCTGTGACGACGCAATTGGCGACGACGTCGCAAACGTCGCAACTCCCTCAATGAGTTGCTCTGCTTGCGAAAGCGATAAAAAGGATTATTGATGCTCAGCTTTTGCAGCAACAACTGTGTTTCCTCAGCGCTCAGCTGGCCAGCTTCTGGCTGATCCTCTGCTTGAACCACTGACTGCTCCTCGCTGGTTACATTTAGATTTAAGAGCTTGCCGCTGGCAACTGTTGGCTTCAGCTCACAGTTCATATTGTTCTCTAGTTGCTGCTGTTGATGTTGCTTATTGCTGTTATTGCTGCTGTTGCTGTTGCTGTTGCTACTATTATTTTTGCTACTATTTAGCGTACTGTCTAAGCTTAAACTATTCGAACTGTTGCTGCGTGCCAGCATGTTGCTGCTGTTGCTGTTGCTGCTGTAGGCTTTGGCTAACTCTATTGTTTTGTTATTACTAATATTGGTCAGGGTTGTTGTCATTGTTGTTGCAGTCTGTTCAGTTGTTGTTGTTGTATTATTATTGTTGTTGTTGTTGTTGGTGTTGGTGTTATTTGTGAGAGTATTACTATTATCATGTTCATGTTCATGTTCATGTAGTTGTTGTTGTTGTTGTTCTTGTTGTTCTGGCTGTGGTTGATAGTGAAGCGCGTTGCTTTCGTTATCAACTGCCTGCTAGACCCTAGTGGGCGGTTGTAATATCATTGCAGCCATGCGTACCTTCATTGCCTCCGGCGATCCATGTCCCGCATACTGTTGCTGTTGAGCATGCTGCGATGCTGCATGCAATGCTGCTGCTGCCGCAGCAGCCTGCTGTTGTTGTTGTTGCTGCTGCTGCTGCTGTTGCTGCTGCTGCTGTTGATGTTGTTGTTGCTGATGTTGCTGGTGATGATGGAAACCGGCGGGCGTTGTGTAAATTGAATCACCTTGGGGGCCACTTGTGCTATCCGAGCGTGATTTCAAATCAGCCTTTTCGCTGCAGGCAAAACAAAACAAGAAAGAGAAAAGACAAAATTGTTAACGAAAATTTTCTGAGATAAGGCCGCAGTGACAATTGTGTTTTTGTCAGGGTGTTTGTGGCGGTGTGGGGAATCGATTTTTTGATACCCTTATCGATGGTATATTTGGATTTTGTCACTAAAGAAGACTGGATCGAGTTCCTAAGGCAACTGATGTTAGAATCTATAGAGGTCTCTTCTCCAAAACTTTCCATAACGTTGATAAATATTATGCTCCCAGTATTTAAGAAACAATTAATGTTTATTTGAATTAGTGCAATATAAACTGTTTTTAATTTTGCATTGCTTGCGTCATTTGCAATTTAAAATAGGCTTTTGTCTGTAAATTCCAAATGCATAATTAAATTATATGTTCTAGAGTATGCAATGTTTGGCATTCCAATGGAAATTATTGTAGTTCTAATTTTCTGCCGTTTGATTGGTAAATTGAATGCCAATGGCATATCTAAATATTCAGCAATTTTCATCTGCCTGTGGGCAACTGATTATTTGCAGTGACAGCGGCGAGCTTGGGATATTTAATATCAGCAAATCCCTGGAGACAGCTTTTGCTTAATAAAGATTTTGTTTCGTTTTGATTGATACCAAATTGTATGAATTTGAAATTGTTAGTTTTGGATGCCAGTTTTTCGTTCTGGTTTGCAGAGGTCGCATATATAATGAATGTCGTTGGGAAATGTGGCTGTGGCTGCAGCGTTCCCAAATATATTTATAACGGAAATTCAAAATCAATTTCCGCTGCAACAACACGCGCACACACACACACATACACACACTGAAAGGCGCTGCAATAATAGCGCTTTTAAAAGGCGATTCGATGAAATTTTGTGATGTGTGTGTTTGTGTGTGTGTGTATGGTCCAAGTGTGTGTGTGCTACACAAACGAAATATGGTAATTTTTAAATGGGGGCAGTATGACGGGGCGGGACCGTTGAAGCGGTGAGCCAAATAACTGCCACAACCCCATAACTCATGTCAAGGCAAAAAGGGGGTGCTCCAATGAGCGATTGTTAAGGGGCGTGTTTTATGTGGCTTGTTTGTGTGTGTGTAGGTGTGTGTGACTGTATGTAAATGACGTTGAGCTGCACAACAGTGCAATATTTCTGAAAATGCCGACTTTGCAGTATTGAATATATGAACACTGTACAAATTCATCACGCATTGCACACTAGAGTTGACCGATATTCAATATACCTGTGACCGAATATTAGCAGCTGAGTTTTATTGGTAGAAATATCTTCGAGTCATGATATCAGCAGCAGCTATCTTATTGGTAGCAATATCTTTGGATGATGAAAAGCTTATACAAAGGCGCAATAGGATCCAGTTTTAGAAACAAGATGTTTATTTTCGCAAATAGGGCAAATTTACTATCGGATTTTTGTCACTGATATTTGAAAATAGCAGCAACAGTCACAGTTGTGATGCAAAATTACAATATCGCTCATCTTCACTGTACACACACACACACATAAGCAGACAGGCAGACAGCTCGTATTATTCATGGGTATGAGCGAGTGTGTATATTTTTTTGTGTGTGGCCATTTGGGACGCATAAATTGGCATGCCAGCGCCACCTGTTGGCTGCTGGTTGCGTTGTATTGTGAGCTCCCTTTCATAAAAATGTATCATAACCGGCCATTTGTTGTGTGTGTTTGTGTGTGTGTGTGTCTGTTGCTGATGGTGTGTGTTTCGCTTCAACTTACCTGTCCTTATCCGATGATTTATAGCCAGTGGAACCTGCAAGGGCGAACGCAAAAATAAAATATATATAAGAAAACTCGTTCGTATCTTTTGCGTATTTTATGTATGAGTATAGTTTATAGAGTGGATCGTCGAGCTATTCTAAAATGCTGGGAATTAATAATTCGCACGCTTATGGACAGATAGACGGACAGACAGGCTGACAAATAGACATAGATAAATTGCAAGATGCACACATAGATACACAGATACATTTGTATCTGCAGGTACGTTTGACAAATGAGCCGTAAACTTATTGATGGCCTAAAGGTGTAAAGTTGCCTAAAGCTGGCTCAAGAGCGGGGTAATTTTGATGGATTTCGACTAGATGAAATGGAGCGCGTATGGCTGGGTACGTGGGTGTGATGGGTTAGGTCGGGGCTTTAGTTTGGGATATTTGAGGGCAATTGAAGATCTGTCAAATGCCATTCGATAACTTTGGCAAGTTAGACGGGCAGCTGTGCCTTTGCTGTGGAGTTTCTCAAATTTCCACGTTTTGCCGCTGCTGTGTAAATTGACATTTTGATTGACAACTGAGAAATTGCACCCTGTTAAGGAATCGAAGGATTCATTCTTATTTACGACTAAAGTTTACACTTGTATTTCAGTCAACAGCCAAATTGGCCATACTCAAACAAATCCCTCATCCTAAATTCCTTTCAATACAAGCCGCAAAACTTTCCAGAGGCCCAGTGTACTTAAGCATCTTTCCGTTAAAAAGTTTCGTTTTACGTAGCTTTTCTTTTTCTAACGAAATTGCTTTCCATTTGCTGTTTGTAAATTGTTTTCACAAATGTGCATTTTAATTGCGCGTTGAGAAAAAGTTTTTGCGGCGCGATTTTGATTTCTAATTAGTAGCAGCCTTACTTTTAGTATTCGCATTTCTTCCAAAAAAAAAAACCTTAAAAAAAAAAAAACATAAAACATTCAACGCCTTTAAACAGCAGACACATTAAAATCTAGGAATGTTCTAAGGGCGGAGCTAAACAAGAATGCTGGTCTGTTCTTAGAGGACCTTAACCCTTTTGTGTTGGCCAACTGACCGCAGGCGCTGACGGCGCAAAACGCGCTAATGAATATTTTATGAGATTTATTTGAGTTTGAAAGAAAGAAAATGTATTAAAAAAAAGAAGACAGAAAAATATGCGCGGCTTTTCTATTGTTGTAGTTGTTGGGCGGTTTTTTTTTTTTCGCTTATTTGTTTCTATGTTTTGGCTTTGCTGCAAGTTTCTGTGTATTTTATTTTTTTTTGCAATTAGTATGACAGCAAAATGTGGCGAAAAGTTCAACGCCATCTGGTGGCATAATGAGGAAAATGCTTTAATTATTGCGACGCGTTCGCTTTGAGGCGTTTGTAATTAATACGCTGTCCTGTTTGAGCTGGCGATTGTTTGGCAACCGTTGCAATTGTTGTCCCTGGTGCTGTTGCTATTGTTGTTTTTTTTTTTTTTTTTTTTTTTTTTTTTTTTTAAGGCAAATTGAATTTTTATTTTTAATGAGCAGCTTTCCAGCAACACTTCCACTTACCCTTGAAGCAGCACTTTTTGCTCTTTATGGCATAGATGCAGAGGCAGATCAGGATTAAAATGGCGGCCATGCAGCCGCCGGCAACGCCCAACAAGTAGCTCATTTCCAAAGGTTCTGCGCGTTGCCAAACGCATCAATTGGTCCAGTTCGTTGTTGTTCAGTTGTTGTTATTGATATTCAACGACGTAAAAGGAATTTTAAATTAAATATATATGGTATGATTTTAATTGGTATAATTAATATATGCTGTTTGTTTTTTATATATACAAAATATTTAATAACTTATTTATTCGCATGCATTGTAAATGTAAAATTTAATTAAACGGTGCCGATTGCAAATGACAAATGGATTGCTTTCACTACCACATATCCATTAATAATTGCCAAAAGAAATCTCTGCAAAGACTTTTATGTATATTTGATTTTTGTTTTGTGTTATTACTTTAAAAGATAATTGAAATTATAAAACTATAAAACTATTGCTATATCTTGTGTATTTTGCCAAGTGATAAACCATTTCGGCATATCTGATATAACGTGTTATTAATATCTGCCAGGCAGACACTGATTTTTCTAAATTCGATAACTAAAAATCAAAAGTAAATAATCCAATGTAAATTTTCCCCAATCGGATGTCTTTTTTATCTTATTTAGTAGATAAAACTACTTTCTTGAACCGCCTTAGTCAATTTATGTTTCACAAATAAAATTTCTACAAAAATATATTGTATATATGTGAGTTGTGTGTGTTTAAGTAAATTAAGGTATTATAATGGTAGGAAAAATAAAGAAAACACTATGCACCTGCAAACGTACCCTCCACAATCAAATGAATGGCATGACGATCGGTGCCCCGCTCGTTCTCTACCACAAGATAGTAGGGTCGTGAATCGTGCTCATCTGTGTGGTGAATGTGCAACGTGGACAGGTAGCAATCCTCCCGCGTGTCCTGCAGCATATCATCGGCACGGAAGCGATCTAAAAGTGTACGAATAAATAATATATTGTGACATTAAATAAATGAATGTCGCGCATATTAATTTGGTCTTCGATGAGTATGAAAAAAGAACAAAAAATGACCGCCCAAACATTAACAATTTAATATCAGTGGACAAAGTGGCGTATGATCGCAAAACCAGCTCCATGTATTTGTCATGCAATTCGCTTCATTTGATTGCTGTCAGTGGCAAGTACGGAGGATTACACGCATGGAGAGACAGACAGACAGACAGACGGAAGAGATGGACTACAGGACAGCCAGAGCAGCCAGGATGCGCACGCAGACAAGCTGAAAATGAAGAGTAATGCGCGAGATTTGTTTGGTAGCTGCAGCCAGAGATGGATCCGCTGCTGGAAAGATGCAATGCAATGCAGTTTAAAAGTGAAAAACGAGCTACACATATTGCTGCTGGAATCTGGGCACTGGTTACTGGCGTGTAGTTGTCTTTTAGAACCAGGATTACCAGCAGCTGACATTGAGGGTAGCCCCCTACTTTGTGGTCGGCCGCCAACGCTAATGCCATACTAGAGCTTCCAACATGCTGCTTGGCATTCGTCTGATTTTGGCATCGTCTCTGGACGTGTAATTTGTCTTGATTTGTGCGAAACACGTCCCACTGTCTGCCGTCGGCTGTCGGTTGTCTGCTGTCTGCTGTCTGTTGTCTTCTGTCTGCTGTTTAGCCACACGCAGCACACAACACACAACACACGCGCAATGTTTGCTCAATGTCAAATTTGCGGAAAAGGTTTGTTAATGAGCACTCAAGCGTGCAGTCCAGAACGGCAGAGATACACAACCTGATGTGAGTTGCACTGTGTTTAATGCGCTGCCGCGTTAATTGAGCTGCAGCTTATTGAAATAAAAAAAATCAACTACAACGAGGCACATTTTTAATTGCATTAACATTTGCATTATCATCCAAATGAGACGCACTCATTCTGAGTACATCTGTGTGTAAATATACGCACCTATGCCCGAACCGGCCTCCAAACGCAGCGAGCCCCATTCCCAGGCAACGCGCAGTGGACGAGGATCCGCACAGACGACCATCGTCAGGCTGGCGGGTTCACCGCGCTTCACAGACACCGTATGCATGGAGGGATGCAGTCGAAGCACTTGCGGTGCGCCTGCAAAAATAAATAAATATATTTACAAATTAATCCGATTAGTTAGGCATTTTGTTGCGTTTTTCCCAACAGTGAGAATTACCCACATGCGACTATATTAATTGGAATAAACTTTACTGGGTCAGCCGAATTATGCTTATATTTATTAAATTTTTATTTGTTTAAGGCATGTCTGGCAAAGTATTTGGTATCTGTGCCGTTTGTGTTGGTTCAGTTTGTGTAACAACCATATTGTACATAGCTTTTTTAGCATTCATTTCTCGCGAGAGATACACCTCTTTGCTTATTCACAATATTCCGTATTTAAATATATATTGAATATAAAAAAATGCGATTTTCCCAACCAAATGTATCATGTATGTAATAAAATATTTGCATATGACATATATGATACAGTTGTTTGCCTAATGAATGTGGTTAGCTTGTGGGTTAATAGCAACAAATATATCTCTACTATTTCCATATTAAAAATTATTCCTTGTATTTCCGACTGTAAATAATTAATAAAAAATATAACTGGCAATTTAAAACACTAAAAGTTGGTTAGGATACAGCGGCAATTAGTTAAAATATAAAATAAACTTATTTTATAATATGACAGTGAAAAGGCACGAATAAAATGTCAAGTGTAAAACAATTTCAATTCATTTCAGTTATTTTTCTAAGAGATTAACTTAGAAAATAATTTGGCAAGCTGCCAACATCTTCTTAGCTTATTAGACATATTTGTTAAGCACGGCTTTGGGAATCCAAATCTGGCACGCATTCAAAGAATGCGTTGAAAGTAACTGTAAGTGTTGACAAATTTTACTGCCTGTAGGGTATATTATAGTCGTGAGCCCAGTGCTGCATGTAATGAGCTGTGTGTGTTTTTTTATAACTTATTTTTTTGTTGGTAGCTGTTGCTGTTGCTGTTAGTTAGCTAGTTCGTTAGTTACCCTATACATATACATAAATGAACGTGTATATAGATGGCGTGCACACAATTTTTTCTTGCCATGTACAAATACATATAGCATATAACATATAGCATACAGCACACAGCACTTTTTTCCTGGCTGGCTCGGCTAAATTGCTCGTGTCCTTGGTTGGTCATAAATTATGTACGTGCTGTGGTATTCAGCACTAAATTTAAATATATATATATATATTTTTTTTCGCTCTTTCCTATTTTTCGCTGCTCGTCGCTTGCCCGCGGCTATGTTGGCCACGGCAGTTGTTCTATTCAACCGTTCTTTTCGCGCTTCTAGTATCATTTTTTTTGTTTTTTTTTTTTTTTTCTAGCATTTTTTGTGTGTTCTCTTTGAGTTTTTTGTTGTGGTCATAAGTTCATTTTGATTTTGTGTTACATTTTGGTTTAGTCTGTTGCCTGCGCCAGTTGCCGCTTGCTAAATTTGTGCTGTGCGACCAGCGGCGCCTGCAGCCACCAAATTGTGTGGGGAGCGACGCCAGGCAAGTGGAGAATTTCAGAAGGCGGGGGTAAGCAAGGGGAACTGGTGACAAAATCGCAGGCGCTTAAAATGTTTTCGACGCGTTTTCCGGTTGCAGTTTTAATGGAGTTTTGTGTTATTTAAAGTGAGCATTAGTTGCACGGGGAAAATAGACATGGTGGGGGAGAGTAGGAGCAGGGATAGCTGACCAAGTAAGTAAGCTGCTGGCTCACATGGCGTACATGTTTAGTTCTTTCTTTTAAGTTGGCTGTAAATTTGAGAGAGTGGCCATTACTTTTATGTTGCTGTTGTCGCTGGTCATCAGCTTGCCTAACAGTTGCTCACAATGTTTGCCTACTCGTAGCTCATTTTTCAGTACATTTTGTGTATGCGTTTTATTTTTGCCAATTTTTTTGGGACAAACTCTTCTTTGTATGCATAAGTTTTTTTTTCATATTTTCTCTGGCGACAGTTGTGGCTGTAGTCATATTTTGTGGTGCTGCGGCTTTTGCGGTTGTGCCCGCAGCGGCAACATGACATAAAACATTGCTGTTCATATGTACATATGTATTTGTTTGTGTGTCTCACACTTACCCACAACTTGCAGCGAGACTGGGTCGGATATGGCAACCCGCTCCTGGCCATTGATGTAGCTGGTGGCCCGACACTCATATTCGCCCTGATACTCATAGGTGACATTATCTATGACCAGACGAGGCTCGTTGCCACGCTCCACATACTTTGAGCCATGTGACATTCTGCAAGTAGAATTGGAAAAAAAAGGTATCAAAATACAAATGAATGGGAATGAATGTGCTTTCCTACCTATATTTAATGTATCTCATTAATATTGTGATTTAAATTAATAAATGTATTTGCGCAAGTTAAGGAGCAAAGGCTAAAAAGTCTACATTTTTACATATAAAAGAATATTACGAATTATAAAATATTCTGTGAATAAATGAAAAAAAAAATAATACAAATTTATAATCAAACAGAGAAAAAGTCTCATAAAGATTGACATTGATATTTCGACCAGACATTTAATGCACACCAAGAATATTTAGCAAACTTTATGAGGAGGGGCGATAAAATGTTCAATAAATATTTATAATTTTTTTGAGAGCTATTTTAGCTTTGCAATTTTCTTTTAAATTTTGTTTACTTAATTTTGTTGTTGTTGTTTTTGCTCAACTTTTTGAGCAGCAAACCGATTGGGAAAAATGCAACAGCCACATTGCAACTTTGGGTGGTGATGGGGAAACTACTGTTGCCACTGCTGCAAGTTTTGGGCAGCAATATTGAAAATTGCGTTTGTGGGCGAGATATTTTTGTTGCAGCTCGTTGCAAGCAACAAATATTTGATACATTTTTTTTATATGAGAAATGCCTTTTATGTTCCAAAATGCTTTCAGCACACAACTCACACAACCACACTCTCCAGTTTAAAAGAGTTTGTGTGTGTGTGTGTGTGTGTGTGTGAAAAGACAAATTCCTCTGATATGCGCACATAGTTGTGCCCGGGCTCGGTATTTTTCGCATTGACTGTGTGTGTGTGTGTGTGTGTGTATCATCCAGCTTAAAGCGCCAATCAAAGTGGACACAATTAAAAGCAATAAATTAGAAAGCAATTCAAATGTAAATTTTGCCCGCAAATGTAGTCACAAAAATTCGACAAAAAACATAAAGTAAATAAATAAATACTGAGTTCGCAAGGCGCTTCCTACTTTTCTATTCATCGCAGCTTAATGTTGGTTCCGTCGAAAATTTGCACGTAAATCAAAGTGACATGGCCTTTCCGATGCCTTTAGGTTTTTCCCTTTGAAAATACATTTGCACAACCAGGCTGTGTGAGACTGGGTGGTTGAGTGGGCTCTGGTCTGGACATCGTTGGCCAGCCTTATTCTAAGCGGCATAGGTAGACTGTCAGCAGCGCACTCCATTGATTTATTAGAAACACACATTGCCCCGTGTGGGTTTTTAACTTGGCACACGCCATTTAATGCGTCTCAGGTGGTTGGGAGAGTTTCGGTTGATTGGTGCTTGGTGCTTGGTTTTGGGTCGTGGAACACGCGTGGAAATTAGTTTTCAACAATTGACATTTAACTTGAGATAAACATGCGCAAGCACGCTTCATTAAGTCAACACGCCAGAGCCGTTGCATGCCGCATTTGTTATTAGAATTTGACTGCGCAAGAAGCGCTCAACGCCACTTTCACCACGTCCCTCAACCTCACCTCCCACCCACTCATATGTGGCTCCCATAAATTTCTAGCGGCAGGCGCCGGTAGTTCAAACAAGCGAAATCACAAATCACGTACAGGCACTGTTCGCTGGAATAGGCGGGGGCCAATTTCAGATCTGACTTTATGGCATGCAACAGCCACATCCAAGGGGGCTGCGGCATTCTGCTTGATTTCTATATTATTTTCAACTAACGACGGCTTTTTATGCTCGACAATCTGATTGTGGAACGTCAACACGACTTAAGATAGCAATTTTTAGTGAAATTTGCTTATAAATTTCGAAGAATTGATTAGTATAATACGTAAATCTAGTTAACAACTTAAAATTAAAAAGAAATATGGCTTTCATTGACTTAAAACTCACAAAAAGTTGCCTTCTAACGGATTCCAAATCTATAACCAACAATATATAAGAATAAAAAAACCGAATATGTCTCTGCAATTTGTGATTCCTAATAGTGTCGTATTGGATATGTGTTGTGAGTAGAGATACGTGCTTTGACTTGCTGCCTGCTAAATGGACAGATGAAATGTGGACAGACGAAAATGTGAAGAGATGAGTGTGCCACTGCTTTGCATAATAATACCCAAGTATATGCAGCTGCTGCAGTCAAAAGGCTGCCCCCACTAGTCTCTCCCTCTTTCTCTCTCCATCTCTCTCTCTCTCTCTCTCTCTGACTCTTTCTCTCTTGCTTTCAATTTGTATGTCTTCTTTGCTGTATCCATTGCTCATTTTGTGCACAACTTCCGCTGTGCAGCTAATTAAAATGACGCAAACATCAAGTTTAATAGCTGGTGGACAGACATCATAGCAGCTGTGCAACTGCTGCTACAGCTGCTACTGCTCTTGTTGCCACTGTTTGGAGTGCTGTTGCATGTTGCTCCGGCTGGCTGTGTAGTGCGCCATGCGCAACAGCATGCTCACCCGCATACAGGAAATTTCAATTACAATTCTACTTTATTTTCATATCTTTACAAAACTAACGCCATTTACATTTTTATGGAGCTTAAGTAGCTCTTAAGCACTTTGTGGCTGAAGTGTATTTATTATTTTTCACTCGATCGGTGAGCGATTGGCGTAGAATATTGATGTAGGATATACATTTGAACTGATATCCTGCACGTCTACCCATGTCGATAGTTTAAAGAAATGCTTTCATCAAGTCATTTCCTTTTCTTGAATTCGAACAAGATTGTTCTCCGATTATTGAATAAAGATATATTAATAATAATATTATTTATATTAAGATAATTTATCAGTAAAAAAAATCATGAATCTATTTTTAATGGTATAAAACTGTTTTGCTTTTCATTAAATTAACTTAAAATTCAGCCAAACTCACCCATGTGTTAAATCTGAGAAGGTTAGCTATTTGGGTACACGATTATTTTCTACACCATCGAATTTAGAATTGTTTTAAAAGGTCAGCATAAGGCGGGTCGAAAATGGGTTGCTGATAGATATAATTTAGTTTAACCCCTGGTTTCATTAAAATTGGAATTTGCCTTGGCTTATCATGTCTTGAAAATATAAATATCAAATATTTCTCACTTTTGAAGCCAAGCCAAAATTCATTTGAGTGCGAGTTGTACAATATTTGCAGTCGTAGCTCGACTATTTACTTTAATTGCAATATTACGTATACGCAGTATGCGCTGAGTCAACAACATACAGAATATTAAGACCACCAGCGCATATTAAAGTCTATATTGACATAGGTAGCAAATATAGCACATACTCAACGTGCTCTACTGTGTTTTAATTAACATCATAGGCGAGTAGCTGAAATTGCTCATCTTGATGTAGTCAGTACTATCAAATAAAACGCAGGCTGTGCCCGAAAGTATGCAGCGCAAATATGTTGTGAAGCCCTCAGGTCGTGCATTGCACGGTTGACCACAGTTGCGAGGTCTGCTGGTGATCCATAAGACTTTACACTCACCTCTGGACCCATTTGTAGGCCGGCAAGGGATTGCCATTGGCGACGCACTCGAAGGCGGCGGGACTGAAGAGTGGCGCTGTGGTTAGACGGTCCGGGCCGGCTGAAGTTATTTTCGGTGGATCTATGGCAAAACAAACAGAGAAACGAAGAGTGTCAATATGAAAGAAAAAATAATAATAATTATGCCAAAAGTTTAGCCAAGCAAATGCAAAAGGCAACGAAACCCAAAAACAACAACACACGGAAAACGACCAAGATAAATACTACTCGTAAAATACAAGGACTCACATTTCACGTCCAACTGCACCGACAGCTGCTCCGAGGTGCCCACTGAGTTCTGTGCCTGGCAGGTGTATAAACCAGCGTCGCGCCGTCCGACAGGACGTAACTGAAGCGTTTCCTAGGAAAAGGAAGTAAGACAAAGAGAGATGGCAATTTAATACAATTACAAATTTCTGCTACACTTAAGATAAATACGGCAAGCGACGTCGAACATTTTGTAGCAACATAAACAACGAGCTGCAAACCAACCAACCATCCAGCGAGCCAGCCAGCCAGCAGAATGCCAAAATGGCAATTGGGGTAACTGGGGGAAGGACGAATATTTCTTGGCTTACCTGCAAGCTGGCTATCTCGGAGCGTCCGGCACGTCGCCAAACGATGCTGGCCGGCGGATTGGCATCGGCCACGCAGCGCAGCACAAGCGCATCCTTATCCTCTTCCAAGTCGATTTCCGGTGAGCCAATTAGACGAATGGTTGGCGCGTCTGCAAAATGCACAAGAAGACAAGCACAGTCAAGTTGTGTCGCTCAAGCAAAACAAGCACAGCAAACGAAGTCAACAAAGCAGCAGTAACCTAGCAATTCTACTATCCTAGCTGTTTGGTTTATCTTTGGGGAGCCCCCAAATCTTGAATTGCTTAACAAAACAGGAAATTGCTACAAATTGTGGCTAATTGAATTGTTACAGCTGTTTGCAATGTCTTTTTTAGTTTTCTTACTTTAAGCCAAAACCAGTCAAATCCAAAGGACATATCCAAACGACGTCTAGCCAGACCGGAGTCTAAGCTGTATTTTTTTTATACCCATTCAAATTATTGTTTCTACCCACGGGTATAATGAAGTTCTTCTAGTGCATGTTAAAGGCAAACGAGGAGATTTCGAACTCGCATAGATATGTGTAATATATTACTGACCGACTGACTGTTTTTTGTCTGATATTATCATTCTTATCGATAACACTCCAATTTATCTTAAAAACCGTCAAATATATTATATATATAAACCTGTTTTTTTGTTGTTGTAAAGCCAATTTTTTTTCTAGGTTACCTCCACATACTCTTATCAGAATTTGTTAAGCTAATATCAAGGCTATATATATTTAATAGATATACACCAAGTAATATTTTCTTCTGCGCTGAAAATTTTACAAGAATCTCGGACAAATAAGACACTTATCATCTCCTAAAGTGAAATGAGGCAGCACAGCTAGTGACATGTGTAAATCATATTCTTTATTTATTAAGAATATTTTGTGCTGTGCATACTGTGGGCGATATGTGGGATTTGGAAAAATTGTATTCCCGTTTATAAATAAGTAAGAAAAAAGTAAGTGTTTTTGTTTTGTCATGTCACCCAGTCAAAGGTATTTCTGCTCCGCCTACGCTGTTAACTTTTAAAATATGGGAGTTGTGCAGAGAGGTTTCTCAACTTTCATTTCATCTATTATAATTTGTACTCTACCCTAGATGGCGTGGGAGACTTTACCTGCAAGCTGTTTGATTCAATTGTATGTATGAACAGGATGCGCATAACAGTTACAGGGTATCTGTTGGACGGACACTTTCATCTAGACTGTTCTGGTTATTTCATTTTTTTATTTTCATTTTCTATTTTTGGGGTTTCGAGCTTACATTTGACATCCATGCGCGCCTCGACAGGCACCGATTTCGCCTCATAATTCTCGTGGAAGGCCACACAGCGCAGCATGTCGCCATGGCGCTCTCTCATGGCGGAGACCTGCACCACCGATGTGGCTGACCAGGTGCGTGTATTATCCGGTTCGGTGGCATTCAGTTGCGGGTGGATGGGAGAGATTTCCTGGTCGCCTGTCGAGAGCAAATCGTTGAAATTAATTAACTCGACAAATGTCACTGGCAGCTGGGTGGAATAACAGCTGCAATCAAAGGATAACAACACCAAACATCCACCCTATCCCCGCCAGCACTAAAGCAGGCCGACACTTACCCAAATACCATTTGAGCGTTGCAGGAGGATTACCATAATGTGAAGCGCATTTCACTGTTGCGACAGCGCCAGCATCTACCGTTATGTTGTGACCCGGCGGCAATGGGGCGCTCTCAAACTCCAGACGTGGACGTTGTGGCGCCACTAAAAGGGTACAGTGCGTGTGTGTATGTAAATTGGGAGACAAATGGAATACACGGATTAGTCATATGAATTGCGGTCTGCAATAAATGTCAACAAACCACCCGCTTTATTTGATATGCATTAGCTTAAATTCATAAAATCAAATAAAAAAAAACACACACAAAAACGGATAATTGAATTTTGCGTTTCAAGTATAAAATATCTTTGTACATATACAAAATATGATTCAACAAATTTTCTAATCACTGCGTAGTATGTCAATTGATTAGGTATTTTAAATAAATTCTTTTTCTTTAAATAAATTCTTCCAATTATATACATATGTGTGATTTTAAATATGCTAATTTTTCTTAAATAATTCTAGCTTTCAATTATAATTTATTTCTATGCATTTGCTTTCAATTTCTTTGTAAAAATGTAATCTAATTGAATTTGCTTTAATTATTATTCTCTGCGTTCTTTGGCCACAGTTTGCCGTAAATTGAACCATGCGACAGTTATGTCCTGCTCTGGGACAACATTATTGTCAACAATTTCTTTACAACTTATGTCCTCACATTTACTGGCAAAATACCCTACACTGGGTTAATTTGAATTAATACTACCACTAGTTACATTTTACGTCAAACAGCTGCCACAAAATTAATCATACGCCACGTTGGGCGGTATTTTCAATTCAATGCGAAATTGATTTCATTTGGTGGACTAGCACTTACCACGTACAACCAATCGCACCGGTTGACTGGTGAGCGCATCCTGTGCGGTAAAATCACTGGCCGTCACTTGGCACTCCCACAGTCCGTCGTCAAAGTCGAGAGTGGCCGAGCGTATCCACAGGGAGCAATCGCCACCGATTTGCATGGGCGGCGGCGGATGTAGATCCAGATGTAAGGCGCCATTGCCGCTCAAGGGACGTGCGGCCCATTCGTATTTCTTCGGATAGATGCCAACGGGCTATGGATGAGAAATGAATAGGCGGAAGGTTGAGGCTTGGCTGCCGAAACAATCGAGTGGAAGAAGCACAATCAAGTTGATAATGATGATGATGATGATGATGATGATGATGACGTTTGAATTGTATGGGCGGGGCAGTGGACAAACGACATGTTTAGCATGTTTAACTTTTCGATGTAGTCAGCCGTATAATATCGTCTACGATTTCCAGCAAACACACATTCAGAAACAGAAAGAGATGGAGAGAGAATGACAGACAGAGATATTGAGAGCAGCTGGTAGGTTGGCTATTGAATGGTACTGACACCAATTCACCATACACCTACCCGCCTACTGCAGCCATTTTCAGCTACGTGTCGTTTAACTCCACTTACAACAGTCGTCGTCGTCGTCATCGTTGTCTGTATGTTTGTTGTTGCTGTCTCTAAATTGGCATTAGTTTGTTTGCTAATTGGAAATTAAATTACAATTAGTGATCTTTGAGCAACGTAGCATGGTTGGCATTTAAGTATTTATGTCCTATGCACTCCTCCCACATCATGTTCCTGCTGTTTGCCTAATTGCGTTTTCGTTCGCCGCATTCCAGTTTGTTTAGTCTTTTAACCATTTCATTGTCTGTTTCTCAAATTGCTTAAGTTAATTGTAACGCCGGGGAAGTATTTCTTTTTTTTTTCTGTAATCAATTGTATCCGACGAATTACATAAAATCACAATTATTTCCACTTTGTTTGTGGCATTTTATGACATTTATAATTTAGAGCATCATTTCAAAGACGGCTCAAGTATTTTATGACATTTGACCCAAACAAAATATTTGTGATATACACATATTTGTATTCTGAACTCGTAGCCCTATGTAAATGCGTGCATTTGCATTTGGACGTAGCTAAACGTCCAAGGGCAGTCCCTATATGATAGAGATATTAAAATTATTATTTCAGTTACGTTTTGACATTTCTGTGTATGTTATCTTTGGCCAACCATCGTCTGGTCAGCTATAGTTACGTTTGACTGCTGACCGGGGTTAAACGGCTCCCTTTCTGTCTCTTTTCCTTTCCTTTCCTTTCCCTCCCTTTTCCTTTTTGTGTATTTTGTGTGCTGCCCGAAATACAAAGAGGATATTGTCCAATACTGGTGGAGCAGCTCTGCCAATTGTCAAAATAATAATTTTAAAAGCCAGCAAATATTTTTTTTGTCTCCGAGTTGCTGTTTGTGACTGTTTCCTGACTGTGTCCAACATTTTTGTGTGTATGTGTCTATATGTCTGTGTGGGTGGGTGTGTGTTGGTGTGTTTTGTGGTAACCGCCATCAAAGTGATCTAAATCGTTTCCAATCGACATTATTTTTCAAACGTCCCACAATAACTGCACCACATGATTGTGCTGTGCTCAATGCCAGCTCTGCGTGTCAGTATACCTTGTACTCAAGTCGAAGCAGGGTATTACAGGCAGATAGTAAGCGGCCAATAGATTATATAGAATGTTATTGATTTTGTACCTTCGCGAGAAAACACAGCATTTTATCAACTATTAAATATAAGAAAGCAAACGATTTTTTTCCATCAGCTGAATATTTTTTTCTTTCTCTCAAAAGGATTGCAAATGTAAAGGTACGAAAGTGATTAGAAATATAAATTGTTCACAATATTTCAAGAACTAACTAGCAGCTGTACATGACTTTAGCGGACTTCTACAGTATATTTTATGGTCTGCCCTTGTCTACAACTGAATTAGGAGCGCATATTTATGTTTGCAATACATTTGGTATGCCCAAATTATGTGCATTTGAATAACTTCATTGCTCGGAGAGTTTGGAACTTTTATAGTTGACTATAACTATTCTCTCCCCTTCCTTCTCTGCCTGGAGGGAAATTGTTGGTAAAGGTGAGCTCTCCAGCCACTATTGAATATGCCTCTTAATAAAGGCCATTGTCAATGGTTTAAGCCTTTGTTGGAGTGTTGGAGTCTAGAAAAAAAAAAATGTTAGATGGAAAACAGCACAAAATGCCATTCAAAAATGGGGGCAAGTTTGCTTAAAAAGCAAACATATGCAATAACGAACAACAACAATTACGATAAATATGCAAAAATACGTAGAATTTTAAATGAAATCCAAAGACAGCAACAAACAGCAACTCGGAGCAAGTGTGTTTGTATATTAAGGATGCTTTTGCACATGAAGAGGGCATTCAATGCATGCAAATGCACTTCTTGGCCATCTACATATGTATGTGTTTTGCTTCATGGTAGTAGCTTCACAGCATCCTGGAGCCACAAGACATTTAAACATTTAAGTATGTATATGCTACGAATCGAGGCAATGCGATGTGATGCGATACGATCCGATGTGACTTGCAGCATATGAAAAAGTACAATTGAAATACTTTGTGATTTTTGTCATGCACCCGCCCACACCCGCCCACACCCGTCTACATAATTTCATTTTGCATAACCACCCGACCCTAGACGAGCAGTTTAAAAGTGAGCAAGAGAGCATTGTGAGAATGCAGCATAGAAGCAAATAAAAGATGTGCTACATGAATAATAATCAGTAATATCATTTCTGCAGCAGAGACGATGTGCATTTCTCATATAGAGTAGTATGCCTTAAGCTTGTGTCCAAGCGTTTAATAAGCCAGTCCACTCTATGGCAGACCACTTTCGACTGCTATGCAAATTAACACGTATGTATTGCCTCCAAACATAAAAGCATTAGAACACATGATCAAAGTGGAGCCAAACAACAAGAAGCATTTTTGAACAAGACAACAGCTCAGCTCAAACAAGTTAGAAAACTGTCTAAATGAGACTGCTCGATTAGAAAATGCCATGGAAAGTTGAAAGTTTTAAAAGTTAGAATGGGTTTATGTACCGCCTTCTGAATTCTTATTCAAAAGTATTGCAGTATTGCAATCATCAATCATTTTTGGCACTACCAATCCCTTTTAATCATCATATTTTATGTCTGAAAATTGGCAGCAAACCGTTGATGATAGGGTAATAGTCAACTAAAAAGTCACCTTAAAACTTGATAAACTTAATAATATACCCTTAACACGTTTTTATAAAAGCAGGGTGTTTCAAATTGGTTTCCTATAAGATATTTTAAATTACAGGCGACGAGCTGGCAAAGAGCAAAGGACTAATAACAACTTAATTGTGTTGCCTGAGCATATTGCGGGTATGTGTATAATATATGGAAATTACAAAGCGCACTCATGCAAGAATATAAATTGTGTTCTTTTAAACATGTTTATTAAGTGAATGTTTGCTTTATCTGAAGAAGAAGTGCAAATAATTCAAATCTCTGTTTGAAAGTAGAGCACATTTTTAGTACTTGGCTTACAGCTTACCATAATGGCATTTTGCTGTAACGCGGCCCCAAATCTAATTGAACAAATATGTAAGTGAGTGTGTGTGTGTGTGTATGCATGTTTGGATATTTGTTCATGTAACTGCCGGAGGCTTAGGTACAAGCCTCTCACGCATTTTCGATTAAAACTTTGGACAGCCACATGTCCTAATCAAAGCGAAAAGAAATACTGTCCAGAGGGCAAAGGTTAGAGGGCAGCAACGAGCAGCATTATTGGCTCGCCTAAGTCAAAGGGCGTAAATTACTTTTGGCAGCCACAGTGTTAGGACAAACATGTGCGTGGCCTGCCAGCTAAAACAACAGCACTTAATTGAACCACACGACGCGCCACGCATATGAAATGGCTTTCATTTATGTCTATGTGTGTGTGTGTGTAAAGTTGAATAAGGTTGTTTATAAACTGCAAGCGAACAACCGTCGCCAGACTGAAATAAATGAACATCATCGATATGTCGACAGGCACTCTATCGTTGATATGTAGCACATGATTACCTTGTTATCCTTTTGCCAGGAGCACGAGCCACGCTTATCGATTACTTTGCATGTGAGCAACGCATCCTCCCGTGGATTCACCTCCGTGTATTTGGGCTGCTCCGAGAAACGCTGAAAGCACGCAATGCCTGCAAGACAAAAAGAAAAAGACACCAAATGAGAAACTGAGAAACTGTCATCTATGAAGTGTGCAAAAATGTGCTGGGCAAATGAATCGAGCTGTTTATTGTACAATAATTTGAGCGCCACATATTCCACCCCCGTCCCCATAACAACAATGCCAAGACTTATCTGCGCTACAATTGTTAATATAACAACGCGTTGACGTTTCTGCATAATATCATAAATAAACAACGTGTCCTTTCTCCCTCTCCTTTCGCTCAACACACTAGGTGCCACTTTATCCCAGCCCCACTCGTTGCGCATGTAAGTATGCTATATTTTTTAATATCGCTCCTCGCGATGCGACCTGCATTTGTCACGAACGCGGGCAATTATCAACGGCACTCGCCACGACACTGCGCACAGCGCACTGCGGCAACCATTTGCTTATCTTTGCACCTGCCACGCCCAAAATGTTCGCTTCATTATCATTCGCTTTTGCGTTTGTTTTTATACGAGCAGTGTTACACTTGCCGAGGGGGTCTCTCCATTCACTTATGTCAATTAATGCGTATGCCAAACGACTTGGCTGACTTCATCAGATATATGCTTTTATTTTATCTAATAAAATGTATCTGTCTGTCTTTTATTCAATGTAATTTAACTTAATTGCTATCTGAAGCAAGCTCATTTATTTAATATTTCTATTTACAACTGTTTTTAAATAGTTGATTTTTTCCCACATTAAAATTGTAATATTTAACTTCACTTTATAACTTAAATTTAATGCTCATTAGTTGAAAACATATATTTTGCTTTAAAATAGTTTCAGTTGCTAATTGTAATAATTATTTTGTTTTAAAATAAACCTAACCTTGTTATAAATTAAAGCTGTATCAATTGAATAACATTATAAATGGAACATCATTTATTTTTACAGCTTCTTCCTTTCCTTTGAGCATTAATCGTTTACAAAGTAATCCTTTTAATAATATTTGCTTAATTTGTTATTGTTTTTTTGGTATCATCATCCTGTAGTGTATTTAAATCTTCGGTGATATGAAGCTGAACACTTGGCATCTGCACTTGGCGCGAGCGGAGAATTTATGTTAATTGCTGGCATGTTGAATATTTTCTTCGCTCTTGCACTCAATTACACCAATTACAGGTGGAAATTACACGCGCTGCTTGCGCACGATAAAAGCAGTTTCTGCTTCTGCTACTGCTACTGCTGCCACGTGAGCTTGAACCAGTTCTTAATGAGTCGAAAACTTGGATAAGAAGAGCTGCCTGAGAAAGGGACCAGCTTTCAAAATGAGAAAAGGGGCCACGACTGAAGCTTGATGTAGTAAATCCTTATGCGGCTGTGCTTACAAGTTGGCTTCGCCGCGCAACTGTCATAAGTTAATCAAGTCTTTTTTTTTTTTGGGATTTTAATGGCCATTTGCATAAGAAGAAACCACAGCAATACCGCTATAAGCCACAGCACCACAATGCGTTTATACAATGTGTGTGTCAGTTTGCTGGTTTTGTTTTATGCGCTCACATTTCCTTGGCCAACTTACCTGGCTTGCCAACTTCCGCTTATATACGGACTACAATAAACAAGCATAAGTAAACATTCCCATGCCTTATATGAGTGCATGTATGTGTGTGTGCGTGTGTGTGTGTGTGTGTGTGTGTGTGTGTGTGTGTGTGTGTGTGTGTGCGTGTGTGCATGTGAATGCGTGCGTGTGTGTGCTGCTGTAAGCCGGCTTCGGCTTTCGTGTGCTGACAACACGTGACCGCCGTTAGCTGCTGAGTTCCCGTCATTTTTGACATGGTTACACACACACACACACACACACACACGCACGCACGCACACACACACGCACGCACTCACACACGCAGCGCCACACGTAAAAATATATGTGTGCATGGACTCACGCAATGATTTATTACGCGTGATTGGCGTGATTGCCACTTTGTTGCTTTATTTCATCTTCCCGCTGTTGTACCCTTGTTTTTGTAACCATCAATGTTGCTGTCTCCCCAAAGTATCCCCAATCCCACTACATTCACCCCTGCCTCCCATCCTGTTGCTGTTTTAACTCATGCCATTCGCTCTGTTTGCATTTTATCGCATTTCGTACATAAATTGGCTTTGTATTTCAATTACGGCCACGGCCTACATCTCTCACCACCATCGACACATTGTCCATTAAGCATTGTTTCAGATTATTTTCTGTTTCGATTTGACTGTATTTCACTCATACATTGGCCGTTTAGGAATTATGACGTCTTTGTTCCAGATATGATTCTATCTCGATAAGAGCTCGAACATTTGGAATCTCTATTTTTTCTAGTCAATAACACATGTAATTAATTAAATTTGATGTAGATTTTGAAAATATGTGCAGAAACTTCCACATAAGAGTTAAGTTTCTTTAGGGATTAAAATATAACAAATATTGTAATTTAAAAGTTACTTGAAATTGAAATAGTTATTAAAATTAATAATGAAATTGATTAATTTCTTATTAAATATAACACACAACTTTTAACTGCTTCTTTGTGAACTATCCAAAAGGCTGAAAGTTAAAATTGACCAGTTTTGAGTGTATTGACGAATTTGGCATGTGAGCCAACTTTGTTGCTGACATGTCACCGCCAAAGCAATTGTAGATTGATTAATGATCGAAAAAGTTGCAACATGTTGCAACAATATTATTTCATTTTGCTGGCGCAGTTTTTGTTTCAAATTTCAGTTAGAGTTGCTTACGAGGACCGGGTCCGCACTTAATTGAAAGACATTGTTGTGCAAAGATCTGTGCAGTAGATGTAAAAGCCGAACGCAAATAAATAATAATAAAAATATAAACAATGGCAACAACATAGACAACCCAAGTGCCTATTTGCAAAATGTAAATACAAATATTAAAAACAAATAGGTTCGCAGCGCAAGGCAAACACAAATAATACATTGGAGCAAAGGGAAACGACAGCTTACAAAAAATAAAAATCATAAACCATAAAAAGAGAAACAAGCAAATGGACAGGGGAGAAATGGGAATAGAGATATAAAGGGAGAGGCGAAAGTGGCAGTGGGTGCGAATGGGCTTTGTTACAGATTCAAGCCCAAAACAGGGAACTCGCATTGCGATTGCAGTTTTGGCTGCCTGCCGTAGCCGAGGTTTCAAGTGCGTGCCGCTGAGTGGTGCTTACAGCTTTCTGTTGTTGCTATTGTTGCAACTGAATCTTGCCAGCCTGCCGCTGTGTGCTACACTCAAGTGGTGTTTGCGCTCCCTCGTCTCTGGTGTTCAGTTCGACGTTCCACGTTTTCGAGTGTGCGACGTGCCTGCGCACAGCCAACAAGGATAACAATTACTCTAGCAGCATGTCCGTCATTCCCCGCACTGCCCCTCACGCCCCTTTGCTGGCGTATTGCGTATACGCGCTTTTCATTTTTCGCTTCGTTTTTTTCTAACTTTCAATTGTTTAGAGCTTAAATACTTTTAAACTGGGTTCGCATTAAACATATTTGTGCTGCTCTTTTCGCTGCTGTTGCTCCTTGAACATGTCAGCAACAGATTCGTCTGGTACAGCTGCTGCTTGCTTTCGATGATGCATTGCAGCATAATAATTTCACATAGATGTCCGCGGCATGCTACAAACAGCAGTAGCAGCAGCAGCAGCAGCAACGAAAACCGCTGGCGCAATACGGCTGCAAGTGTTGAAAACGGGTCAACTGCCAGCCTCTTAGCTGCAGCTGGTCTGTTTTGGCTATGGCTGTATGGGGCCATAAAGCAGCTGCCAAAGTGTTTGTCGAACTACGTTACTCATACGCGACGTGTGCTTCAGGGCAGCAACCAGCTGTGCTCGCTCTCTCTCTCCTCGACCATCCTGCTTGTGGCAAAAGACAATTTAAGACAAATCCCAGTGTGAATTCATACATTAGACTAGAGCTGAGCGCATGTTATACTTTATTTCGTGAAACGATTTGCACAGCTTGAGTTAAGTCAGCAATATGAGGACTATGCTTAATGTCAACACAATGTTTTATTATCTGAAAGTGCTGATTATATTCGAATTTATAATTAAGATATATGCTCAAGAAATATTGAAACTAATTGGTTTTTGTAGTAAAGAAAAGCCAGAAAATGTATTGCAAAGCCAGCAAAACAAATTTCTTATATTCATAGGTATGTTAGAAAAGATAAGGTTTTTTAATTTCTTATTTTGAGACAGACATTGAAACTTGCCAGTGTTCATGAGATCATACATAATTATCTGACTTTCCATTAGTTTAAGTTTATAATTGGACGACTTAATCATTCTGCCATTTTATATATCTTCTTTATAGGAAAACTTTTCGATTTTTATCATAGAAACTGATCTGAATAATGGCTACATCAAGAAAAAATGTATATATTTGCAATAGCAAGCGCGTAAATTTTGAGTGTTTGCGATGTTTGATAGGTGCTCGTGTCGTGTGCTAAAGAAAAGCAAAGCGCGCTCATCTCTACATCAGACCTACCCCTAGCAGCACCACCCCTCCATGTAGCCTTTTGAGACATCCATGCTCCTTGCTTTGTCGGCAATCAATGAAAGCAATTTGTGAATCTCTTGTGCAATGCTCTAAAATACAAACGAGCTAAATCCGCAGGCACAACCCCCACACTCACACACAAGCGCATACATGAGTTTCAAGACGTATTGGCGTATTGGCTGAAGGTACGACAAAAATATAATAAAAAAATCTATGCAAATCAAATATGGACGATGATTTGTAATTTTTTTAAATTCATATCATAGTAGAAGCGAACAGCAGCAGCAGCAGCAGCAACAACAACATAATTTACCCAAATCCCCTACACACACACGCGACCCTTACACAGCCCACACACGGTGAGTAGGTGCTAAGCAAACATGCAAGCCATGGGGATTATAACAGGGGAATACTCGTTTGCTGGTACACAAAAAAGGCGAACCAGACACACCCAAAAACAACAAAAGAAACATAAGCAACAACATCACATCGAGAAC